AAGCATCCCAACACACGAGCATAATCCAATTGTGATATGCTTTGGCCTTTGTTCTTTGCTAATGCAAGATTCACGTCAACTGGAGTCTTTGCAACTTTAAACCCTAAGTGCTTGAATTTTTCAAGTACTGTCTTAATATAATGAAATTGTGACAATGCCAGACCTTGAGGAGTCTTATGGATCTTAATCCCCAAAATTAAATCAGCAACTCCCAAGTCTTTCATATCAAACTTGCTCTTAGCATACGCTTAGTAACATTTAAGTTGGCAATGTCATTACTCATTATAAGCATATCGTCCACATATAAGCAAATAATGATTATGTGATTTGGAACATTTTTATTGTACACACATTTATCACATTCATTTATCTTAAAACCATTTGATAATATTGTTTGGTCAAATTTCGCATGCCATTATTTGGGTGCTTGTTTTAGTCCGTAAAGAGACTTAACAAGTCTACAGACCTTCTTTTCTTTACTTGGAATCACAAACCCTTCAAGTTATTCCATGTAGATTTTTTCCTCCAAATCTCTATTCAAAAAGGCCGTCTTAACGTCCATTTGATGAATTTCAAGACTATACACTGCAGCTAATGCTACTAACATCTGTATGGACGTAATTCTTGTAACTGGAGAGTATGTATCAAAGTAGTCAAGACCTTCTTGTTGTCTATATTCTTTGACTACAAGTCTTGCCTTAAATTTATCAATAGTGACATCATCTTTCATTTTCCTCTTAAAGATCCATTTAGAACCCAAAGGTTTATTTCCAGGAGGAAGATCAACCAATTCCCATGTATGGTTGTTCAATATGGATTTTATTTCACTATTGACTTCCTCTTTCTAAAACAATGATTCCGCATAATACATAGCTTCTTTAAATGTTCAAGGCTCATTTTCCAATAAGAAAGTCATAAAATCTGGTCCAAATGAAGTAGACGTTCTTTGACGTTTACTACGTCTTGGATCCTCCTGATTAAATATACTTTCTTTTGTTTCTTCCCAAGGTCATTTAGATCCTTCACCAATCGACTCACATTCCTTTTTATACGGATATTTTCAAAGAACTCAGCATTATCTAATTCTATAACCGTATTATCATGAACGTCGGTATTTTCAGATTTATGAACCAGAAATCGATATGCTTTACTATTGGTCGCATATCCTATGAAAACACAGTCAACGGTTTTCGGTCCTATTTTTACCCTTTTGAGTTTAAGAACTTGCACTTTTTCCAAATACCCCCACACTTTAAAATAATTCAAGTTTGGCTTCCTTTCTTTCCATTTTTCATATGGAATGGATTGCGTTTTGCTATGGGCTCGATTTCATATTTGGTTTGCCGTAAGAACGACTTCCCCCCATAAGTTCTATGACAAACCAGAACTTATCAACAATGCGTTCATCATCTTCTTAATGAATGATTCTTTCTTTCCGCAATCCCACTGGATTGGGGCGTGTAAGGGGCCGTTTTTTGATGAATAATTCTATATTCTAAATATATTTGTTCAAAAGGAGATTCATATTCACCACCCATATCACTTCTTATCATTTTGAATTTCTTGTTAGGTTACGTTTCAACTTAATTTTTGTATTGCTTGAATTCATCTATTGCTTCATCTTTACTATTAAGTAAGTAAACATAGCAATATCGAGTACTATCGTCGATAAAAGTTATGAAATACTTCTTTCCACCACGAGAAGGTATTGACTTCATGTTGCAAATATCTGTGTGAATTAAGTCTAAAGGATTTGAATTCCTTTCAACTGACTTATAAGGATGTTTAACATACTTAGATTCCATACATACTTGACATTTTGATTTGTCGCATTCAAACTTAGGCAATACTTCTAAATTAATCATTTTCTACAAGGTTTTATAATTGACATAACCCAAACGTATATGCTATAATTCATTTGACTCAAGTAAGTAAGACGAAGCTGAAATTTTATTATTATTCTCAACAACCATTACATTCAGCTTGAAAAGGCCCTCAGTGAGGTAACATTTTCCTACAAACATTTCGTTCTTGCTTATTACAACCTTATCAAATACAAAAACACATTTAAAACCATTCTTAACAAGAAGCCCAATAGAGACGAAATTTTTCCTAATCTCGGGAACATAAAGGACGTTGTTCAAAATCACCACTTTTCCAGAAGTCATCTTCAGAAAGATCTTCTCAAATCCTTCAATCTTGGCGGTTGCAACATTTCCTGTATAAAACGTCTCTTCGGGTCCAATAGGAGTATATGCTGCAAAGGCTTCTCTAACAGTACAAACATGGCGAGTGGCTCCAGAATCAATCCACCACTCCTTAGGATTTCCCACCAGGTTGCATTCAGAAAGCATAGCACACAAGTCATCAACATCTTCATGCTTTTCAACCATGTTTGCTTGACCCTTTTTCTTGTCTTTCTTCGGAGCACGACACTCCGTATATTTGTGTCCATCTTTCCCACAATTATAGCAATTTCGGTTGAACCGCTTCTTGCTTGCGCTGCTTTTCGATCCAGAAGCCTGCTTCTTCTTTCTCTTATTTTGAGAAGTATCCTCAACAATGTTTGCTCCCATTATTGTTGAGTTTCCACGGCCTCTTTTTTCAGCCACGTTGTTGTCCTCTTCAATTCTCAACCGAACAATGAGATCTTCAAGGGACATCTCCTTGAGTTTGTGTTTCAAGTAGTTTTTAAAGTCCTCCTACAAAGGAGGCAACTTCTCAATCATCGCTGCTACTTAGAATGTTTCATTGATAACAAGATCTTCAATGAAAATTCTGTTAGTAAAAATACTAAAATTACTACTTTCAATATCAGTATTAATTCGATTTATACCTTCAACAAGGAGATCATGAATAATCACTTGCAATTCTTGGACTTGGGTAATAACATACTTGCTATCTACCATTTTGTAGTCTAAAAACTTAACGGTGATGAATTTCTTCAACCCGGCATCCTCAGTTTTGTATTTCTTTTCAAGCGCTATCCATAATTCTTTTGACGTCTCCACGCCACTATAGACATTATACAAATCGCCTTCTAGTCTGCTAAGAACATAATTCTTGCACAGAAAATCAGAATGCTTCCACGCCTCAATCACGAGAAAGCGTTCATTCTCTGGAGTTTCTTCAGGCAGAACAAGAACATCTTCCTTAATGAACTTCTGCAGACTTAAAGTAGTCAAGTAGAAGAACATCTTCTGCTGCCACCGCTTGAAATCTAACCTAGAAATTTTTTGGGTTTCTCTGCCGGTGCAAATGCCGTTGTTCGACTTGTTACACATTGGTAGTCACCATCGGAACAGCTTGGTTTCCGTTATCATTAGTCATTTCTGTAAAAGAATGACACAAGCAAACGTTAAAATCACGTAGACTTTAATCTCTAACGGAGTAGAAAACCACAAAGGTTTTAATCTCCAGAACAGTGAATATAACACAAATACAGAATACAAATTAAATTCCTTAAGCTTGTTAGTAAAGTGTATTTGTAAAATAATTCTGGAGAAAATAAACTAACAAAAACAAAATATAAACGAAATAGAAGTTAATCCGAGCCCACTGCATTCACAATGTTTCCTTAAGGAATTTAATCTCCTCCTAGTACCCAAGGTTATGGATTATTTCCTCCCAGGATAGAACGAATTACACACTGGTGTAGTGATACTTCAAACCCCAGTGTTTCAGCAAACACAAAGTTTGGTAGCAAATCACACTTATTGTTGCTTTCTTTGAAGTTAAAACAATACAGAAGAAGGAGGAGAAACTCAAAAAATCATATGAAAATTATGAGAGAATGGACTTGTATTTATAGCCAAAGTTGGGCTAGAAACTAAAGAGGTGCAACTCTTCAGAATGACTGTTTATGCAAACGGCCATAGCATAAATGCCATAACATAAATGTCTTGTTTATGCAATAATAAACCGGGAATTTAAGAGGTAGGTAAATTTTCAGTTACAAAATTGAAAAGCGAAAAACTGATAACGGACCGTTGGATTTAATATTAATATTCTGTTAATAAAATAGATATTTAATAACATTTCTGTTAATATTTTACTATTAACAATTAAATTTGGTCCAAAAAATTAATCAATCAGTCATTTGACCTAAGCCGAAGCCGAGCGAGCGACGACGACGACGACAACGCGAGGCTTGCCTTCTTCTCAACTCTTTAAGAGCTAGAAGAAGAACAATTGCTTATATATCCATAAAAAACCTCTTCTTCTTCCAATATGGGACAATAAATTTGGTCCAAAAAATTAATTAATCAATCATTTGACCAAATCCGAAGCCGAATCCGAGCGACGACGACGGCACGAGGCTTGCCTTCTTCTCAACTCTTTAAGAGTTAGAAGAAGAAGAATTGCTTATATACCTATAAAAAACCTCTTGCTCTTCCAATATAGGACAATGTTTCTTTGTCGGGGGAGGGGAACTTAAAATTTTACTCAAAAATTCTATTTCCCTCCATTTTTCATTCACCCTCTTTTAAGTCATATTAATGCTTAAAACCCAACAACTCGAACTCTCCAAATATACAACCATACTTGCGTTAGAGTATCTCTGAAAATACATTATTTTGAAGGATCCCTCACGCGTCCAGTGAAATTCTTAAAGAATGCGAACAAACATAGTTACTCAGTAACGTACATATGCAAGCAAGATTGTCATAATCTAGGAGCATTAAATATGAGTAATCCAAAACCAAGAACCACATAAGAGTGACAAAATTACACTTTCCGATTCAAAATTAAAGGCCGAACCACAGAAACTGACACAATATAGCTGAGAAGTAAAAACCGCTGAACGGTCATTTCCATGCTTTTCTACCAAATCTCATTAATTGCTTCACTCAAAACTTTAATTTGCTGGACTCTTCACTGCTAAAGAGTAAAAAAATTATCTACCGATATTTATTTTAGTGTCATTAATGATCTCAACAACCTTTCCACGTACCCTCCATTTACTTATATATAAAAATCACCAAATTTCCACTCAAATTAATCTCAACACAAATTAAACAATGGCTTACACTTTCGTCAGTATTATTCTGTGTCAATTCTTGTTACTAATGACTACAACTTTGGCAGGAAAAGTTCCAGCAATTATAGTGTTTGGTGATTCCTCTGTTGATTCAGGGAATAACAACCAGATTTCCACTGTTTTAAAGAGCAATTTTGAGCCGTACGGTCGTGATTTTTACGGTAAAAAACCAACTGGGAGGTTTTGCAATGGGCGAATTCCGCCAGATTTTATATCTGAGGGTTTTGGATTGAGACCATTTGTTCCAGCTTATTTGGATCCGGCATTTGATATATCTGATTTTGCAATGGGAGTTTGCTTTGCTTCTGCTGGTACTGGTTATGATAATGCCACTTCTGATGTGCTTGTAAGTTTTCTTTTTTGCCCTTTATATGTGCCTTTTTTTTATGATCAAAAGTTACTCTATATTTGAGGACACCTTAGAGTAACGGTAAAATTTGTAATCGTGTTACTTATAGATCACAAATTTGAGCAATGGAAGCAGTCATTAATTAATACTTGCATTAGGGTAGGCTGTCTATATCACATCCCTTGGGATACGGTTCTTTTCTGAACCCTATGTGAACGCGAGATGCTTTGTGCATCGAGCTATCATTTTTAAAATTTACTCGCATTTGGTATTTACACCAAATCAGCAACACAACAAATCAACGATTTACTCGCATTCGGTGTTTACATCAAATCGAATCGACGATTGCAAAACAAACTTTTTAAATTTTAATGTACTCATTTATCACTTAACAGATAGGAGTATGTATTTTTACTTAATTTATAATTTACTATTGTCGTTAAATAGCTTGATTTGATATAAACATAATACGGATAAGTAAGAGTTCTATATCGACATCAGCTTGTTCTCTCTACTGATACTGTTTTTGGCATTGACCGTCAGGTGGGATTGTAATGTTTATTCAAAGCGTAAAACGTGCTGCCTTTTGTTATATATATATATGGAAATGAAGGACACGTAGAACCCATAATATAATTAAGCTTTTCTCTTTCTTCTTGTTTTCTTGAGAAATATATATGTTTAGTCGCCTCCGAAAAATAATAATTGATAAAATATTTTTTTTGTATGTATTATATATAAAAAAAATATACTTACTGTAAAAAAAAAAAATTGACTAGTAAATATAATTAGTTTTGGCCGACCGCCCAATTTTATATTTTACTTTTTTTTTTCTTTGAATGAATAAATCATGAAGCAGTTCTAGTGTTTTCTAGATCATTTTATGTTAGATATTACTATTTGCTAAATTCCATTATGTATGCGCGCTTGATTTACTAAAATTACATTAGGTTGAATGTGAAGCTGTTGGGTAATAATATAATTAGTATAAAAGATTTGAAGTTGTTGAAGTGTGTGATTATCTCAGCTAAAAGCTTAAATTTTTAGAGAAAACACACTTTTATTTATTTAATTATGTCTTCAACACGCTCTCCCACGTGCAATTGTAATTTCTTATTTATATTGGGTGACAATGAGATATATACTATTTGCTAAATTCCATTATGTATGCGTGCTTGATTTACTAAAATTATGTACATTATGAATGCGAAGCAGTTGGGTAATTATTAATAAAAGATTTGAAGGTGTTGAAGTGTGTGACCATCTCATTTAAAAGTTTAAGTTTTTAGAAAGAACACATTTTTATTTATTTAATTTTGTCTTCAACACGCTCTCTCACGTGCAAGTGGAATTTCTTATTTATATTGGGTGGCAATGAGATTCAAATTCAGGACCTCTGCCTGCTCTAATACCATGTTGAGGCGTGTGATCATCTCATCTAAAAGCTTAAATTGTTAAAAAATTATTTACGTTGTTACTAATTACAACTATTTTTTCTTAGTAGGATGTGATACCATTGTGGAAGGAAGTGGAATACTACAAGGAATATCAGAAAAAACTAAGAGCATACGCAGGCAAAAAGAAAGCCAAATACATAATAAAAGAGGCATTATATTTAGTAAGCATAGGAACAAATGATTTTTTAGAGAATTACTACTCAATGCAAAGCAGACGTGCCTCTCAATACACAGAAGATCAATTTCAGATTTTCCTTCTTCGACTTGCACAGAATTTTGTAAAGCAAATTTATCAAATGGGAGCAAGAAAAATTTCCTTAACCGGACTTCCTCCAATGGGGTGTTTACCTTTGGAAAGAGCAACAAATTATATAAGTGGAAATGGAGATGGATGCAATGAGAAATATAATAATGTGGCTAAGCATTTTAATGTGATGTTGGGTGGTTTAGTTCAGAAACTAAACAAAGAACTTCCTGGGATTAGAGTGGTTTTTGCTGATGCTTATAATCTCTTGCTACATATGATTAGAAAACCTTCTTCTTATGGTAAGTTTTCTTTTGCTTCTCTATATTTGGATCCTCTTTTCACTCGTTTCATTAACTTTATTTCCATTGTTATTTGCCTTTGAGAACATAATTTTGACCCTACGAGAAAGGATAATTCCTAAAGGATTTAAATTAGATATACATTAGCATAAAATGTATTATCAATGTACGTAATTTAACTTGTTATAGTAGGTTATCTATTTTGTTTTTTAGGTTACGCCCTCTGTTTCAATTTGTTTGATGCATTTCGAATTTCGAGAGTTAGACAAGTTTTTTCTTTGATTATAAATTTTTAATATTTTTTTAAATATTTTAAATTATTAATTATTATGACTTATAGTATTTTTTATGTAGTTTCTGACTATGTAAATTTTATTTGAAAAAAAATTAAAGATTCTATGTTCAAATTTGTGGTCAAAATTGAAAAGTTTAACTCTTGATATCTGAACTGTATCAAACAAATTGGAACAGTGGAAGTGTAAGTTATTAATTAGGAGATGTGAGCAGCTCTAAGAGTTTATAGGAGTACTATTATTTTATGCTTTTCCAATATAATAATTCAAGTTGGCGAAATGAACTTCAAATAGAACAAAAGATATATATATATATATATATATATATATATATATACATACTCTCTTCCTGTATTCAACGATGATAATGCACCTAAAATTAGCTTAGCCCCTTCAAGACTTATTTAAATCTCATAATGTTTTGGTAAAAGTTCTTCTACAAATTAATTGCGTTTTTCTATATTTGTCAACTTAAAAGGTTATATAATAATTAATCTTTTCTATCTCCACTTCATGCAACCAACTTTTCTTCAATTTGTTGAAGAAAATCAATTTTTTCAATTAATATGCATTTATCCATTTACGTATTTAGTTTTGTCTCCTGACCCGAGTACATTTTTTGGAAAACAGGGTTTGAAGTGGCAGGCGTAGCATGTTGTGGCACAGGATTATTTGAAATGGGTTACTTGTGCGATAGTTTAAACCCATTGACATGCACAGATGCAAACAAGTACGTATTTTGGGATGCTTTTCATGTGACGGACAAAACAAACCACATTATCTCTAATTTCTTGATGAGACATGTCTTTCGCCAATTTCAATAGTTGCACTGTTGGATCATATCATGTCTTTTGTACATTCACTTGTTTTTACTTGTTTATTCGGTGTTTGGTGTGTCGATCATCAATAGAAAATCGTCTTTGCACCTTCACAAGCTAAGGGTAAGATCTGTGTACATGTTATTCTTCTCATATCTTACTTGTGAGATTATACTGAATATGTTATTGTTGTTATATGTGAAGAAATTCAATGATGTACGCAGAATTTTTTATAAACGGTGACACATTTAAAAATTAAACAAATAAATTTGAAACGACATTGCATAAAAAATATACAATTTAGATCATATCAATCATTTTTAAAGATGCTAAGGGACCGTAAAACTTAGAAGAACAAAACTGTGTTAATTTGGCTCGAACCCCCAAACCAAACTTGAGAACTGCAGTGTCTTAACCAGCGGACCAAGCAACATAGATTTACCATGTGTTGTCATTCTATATTATTTATAAAGATTTATTATTTTTTGCATATCACTTATTTGTGTATTTAGTGAATATTCATATTATGTAGAATATCTTCACTCTCAATAATTACATACAAGTCTATAGAACATAGAAAGGCATGATGCTCATGATGTGTACGTGTTCGATGAATCAAATCCTCATTGAATTTGATTTTTCCATTAGATGGGATTCACACATGTTTTGCAGTACCCCCGTGGATACTCCTCCTGTATGAAAAGTTTTTAATGTTAAATTGAGTACCCCGATTCTCAAATCGACTGGCGTGCAATAATGCCTACAGCTTCTCCCAATACAACCAGGTCACCATGAATAGGACTATTTCAGCGAAGAACATAGCTTAGCCTAAGGTAAATCCGCCCCTTGTGTCTATTCTTGGATGGAAGGTGAAAGAGGGCGGCACGAAGAATTTGAAAAGAAAGTATTTATTGTACTTTTTTATAGTCTCAAGGTCAAGGGTATATGACTATCGGACTAGCTAGACATGTATGCTTTTCGATTTGTGCAAGGGAGTTCGACATCACATCCACTTATTATTGAAATTTAATTACAATAATGATTAAGGTGACCAAATATTGTATAATTCTTTTATCTTGTTAGAATATAGAAATTAAATTCTATTGAATTTATACTATATTAAAAGTGCGAAGGCCCTTAGCGAAATGTCGTTCGACTTTTTTACCCTTAAAAAATTAAGTTTATATTGGACAAAGTAGTAATTTAATTATTTTTTAATATTTAGGAATAGTAATTTAACTCATCCTAAAATTTAGGACTTCAAAATCAATTAAAGATTGTGTACCAAATCCTTCCTTATTTAAGCTGTGTAATGTAATATAACATATCTGTAAAAAAAAAAAATTGTACGTTTCATTAACATGTAAAAATCTTTGGATGGAACACTTTCAATTCCTAAAGTCATAGGAGTATTAGGAAACGTATCAGCACTTTGGAATCCTTTTAGCTATAGGAGTCTCTTTTCTTCTTTTTAACACTAACCGATTATATTTCTATAAATATTTTATGCAAAAGTTTCGTTAAGTATTTATATATTTTTTAGGTTATAATCCATTATTTTCAATCCTTTTACTTAGGAGTTTTATTAATATACGTTTGGCTAAAAGAAAAGGAGGACGAGGGTGTGAATCGAAAAAAGGAAAAAACGACATATACCAAATTATTTCTCATAGGTAAAAACAATATATATATATATATGTCCAGAAAATAGTAAATGTCTTTCGCCTTTTACCCTTTTTAACTTTTATAATGGACAAATTTGTAACTTCAGTTAGTTTCCTAATATTTAGGATTTTGAAATTAATTAAAATTTTGCATATTAAATCTTTCCTTATTAAAATAGGTAGAAAGTACTAATATTTAGAAGTTTAAAATTAATAAATAGTTTACCTTATGTAAATTGTACTAATTGACAATACATCCTTTGTGCAATACGTATAAAATCAAGATGACAACAATGGCGACTTCAATTAATTTCTAATTAAAAATGAAAAATGGAGATATAAAATCACATACATTAAATTAAAATTAAATTATTTAATACAATAACGTCTAACTAAAATTATTTCAATGCATAATAATTAAATATGTATTTTAAATATTCTTATTTTATCATATAAAGTAATTAATTCATGTTCAATTAAGCACCTAAATTATTATTTAATATCATATTTAATTATAACAAATTATACAAGCCTATTATCTATATTTATGTATGTCTATACTATATTAAAAGTATTAAGCCCCTATCGAAATGCCGTTCACCTTTTTTACCCTTTAAGAGTTAATTTTATACTAGACAAAATAGTCATTTAATTATTTTTTTAATATTTAGGACTTCAAAATCAACTAATATTTTATTTAAGAAGATCCTAATATTTAGGTCTTCAAATTCAATTAAAATTTACATTATTAATTCTTTTCCTTATTTGACCAGTTTTTATAAATATTCTTTTGGAGTTTAGTACGTGGCCATTAAAATTTATTTTTTAATTCTTAGCCTCTAAAGTATATAGTAGTATTTTTCTCTCCAAATTACCAATAATTGATTACCTAAAAATATGAACTATCCATCAGCAACGTATGTTCGCTTTTTCCTGTTAAATTTTTAAGAGTTTTGATTTAATCTTAATTTTAAATTTCTAGAAGTCTGAACTAATATGGTGTTAATTTAGAAATAATTTAAGCTACAACCATACTATGTGAATTTGCAACTACAGTTAACTTTTTACTTCTAAGTTAAACTAATGTATTTGGAACTCTTGAAATAACTATAAATTGGTCATTTTCCCCTCGATAATTTTGAAAAATTGGCCTCAACATTATGAACTCTTGAAATTTTAAAATTGTTATTAGAAGAGTGCATTCAGAGTGAGTTTAGGATAGTATCGACTTTTAATTGATAATGGATGAGCGTGCAAAGAAGAAAATTTAGAGTTAAATCAATAAGAATCTGGATAACTATTTCACACAAGAAGAGGTTCATTTGGCTATAATTTTGATTAACTTTGAATGGAGAAATATTTTTTTGTACAATGACATTATGAGCGTAGACTTTACAAAGAGATGCTGGATGCGATACAACACTACAGCATATTCGTATCTTATATAATAAAATATTAATAATGATAAATACTATAGAATTAATTACACTAAATTCATTCGAAAAATGTTGAATTCAGCTATATATTAGATCAATGTACTAATATCTTTTTCATCATTTAAACACATATTGCGTTTAGTTTTATCTCCATTGCTATTTTATTAATAATTTGTATACGTTTTATATTGATTAACGTAATGCACACGTGCAACGCACGTACAGTAAAATTAGTATCTTTATAATTACAGCCATTTTTTTGTTGTTTTCATAAAATATCAGGAAATGGAGCATTCAAAAGAACGATCATAGTCTTTCCTGGAAAGCAACTTTACTATTCGTGGTTATATTAAGATAAACAATTTTACTTTCTTGTTCAATATGAATAAGATAATACCATCACAAGTGCCGAAAACCGGCCGCCATCGGAAATTATACTGTATTTAATTATTCAAATTATAAATAGAAGTAAAGGAAGAAAACAGGGTACACAGTGATGTTGGTACTACAAACAGTAATTTTCCTGAAAAATTCCTACTCCTCTACACAAAATTATTTTTCAAAATTTAAATTTTCAAAATTAAGTGACAACTTGATATAAGAACGTTCATATATTATTTCACCAACAAGGATGGTAGTGGAATGGTAATTTGGTAAGTACTCCTTCATCCTTAATCAGAGTTTTTGGATTCGAGCCTCGAATACGAAGCCACTTTTGTTAGAGAGTGCTTTTACCTCCCAATGTGAGAGTTTCCGGTACGAATCTGGATTTAATCGAGCCACAATACGAATACCGAACACCGAATAAAAAACCACACTATATTATTTCACCATGGTTAATTAATATAAGAGTTTATGTAAATGACAGGCTGTAGGCAAGTTGTTCCCAACAATTTCTCCCCTCTTTACTTTTTAGAAGTTGAAAAATATTATCTTCATTTATTTGTTAAATATTAGTACTTTTTATTTACACATGTATTGACATCATCAACTTGTTCTTCTATCTTTGGTAGAGGTAGATGAGAAACCACAAATAATAAGGTAAAAATAACAGGGGCTAGCCAGTTTTCGGACTGGTCATTCAAAAATAGCCAACGTTTGCAAAATTATTGAAAAATAGTCACTATTTTGCTGCAATACGGAAAGTTCCAACATAATATACTGGAGATCAGTGCCCCTGTATATGAACTTCCAGCATATTATGCTGGAACTCCGACACGCTGAAAGTTCCAGTATAATATACTAGAGATTGGAGCATCGGTGCTCCAATCTCCAGTATATTATGTTGGACCGATATTTATACTACTGGAGTTCCGGTATACTTATGCTGTAACTCCAGTATACTGGAGTATTTTTCCGGATTTTGAACAGTATTTTTGTTCAGATTTATCTTTACATGAAAAATGGCTAAATTTTAATTACTTTTGAAACTGAGGCTATTTTTGAATGATTACTTGTAAATCTGGCTATTTTTGAATGATTACTTGTAAATCTGGCTATTTTTGAATGATTACTTGTAAATCTGGCTATTTTTGAATGATTACTTGTAAATCTGGCTATTTTTGAATGATCACTTGTAAATCTGGCTATTTTTGAATTTCTTGGAATGTTTGTGCATTCAGTTCATAAGTTTCTCTTTGAAAATTCCACATGTAATTATCCAATTGTAACTTTCTTTCACAGTTTTTTTGTCGAAGAATTAATCCAAATAGCTATTAATCCAATCACGTAAATTAAAAATAATTAATGAAGGTATAATATATGTATAATTTATATATTGTGTGTATATAATTATGATAACTAATGTATAATCTAGGTATATGGCTAAAAAAAGTAAACAATAAATATGACCGGCTATTTGTATAAAGATCCTTTGTTTGTCGAACGTTTTAGCTAGGGATGTCTTATGGGCCAGTCCATAGTTTTTGTTTGAGCTTGCAGGTTCCCTTCTGGGCCTTAACTGGTACAGCCCCATACTCTTTTGCTTGGCTGGTTTTACTAAAATAGCCGGCTGAATTTGCTGTTTATTTTTCCTAGCCATTATACATAGATNATATATATGTCTATTTTAATTTAATTGGTTAGGTGAGCGGCT